AAAAAAAAAAAAAGAAAGAAAGATATAGCTTCATATTAGAGTACAAGGGGTCTGCTAGCTGAACCCCTAAATTATGTAGACATCCTCATTCAATCACAGAAATTACTGAGGCAAGCAGAACACCACATAAAGGGTGGCTTTCTAGATTAGACTTATGATATGAAAGAGCAGAGAATCCTGTTTCCCTTAGACACCTGTTCCCAAGGAAACAAAAGAGAGAGAGAGAGAGAGAGAGAGAGAGAGAGGAGGTAAGCCAGACATGCCCAGTTTCTTCTTCCCAAATTTACCAGATTAGTCATTCCACCTCCCCTGGGGCAGAGTGGGTAAAGAAAGAGGCCAGGTGTGCTACAGTAAGTAAGCTCCCTTCACGTGGAAAAAAAAAAACATCAAAAGAAGACATCGTCCCCCCTAAAATATGGCATCAATACCACAATGAGAGCAGTGATCAATTTTAACAAAAGGATAAATATAAATGCAAATTATCACTTTCCAGACTTCATAAACACAGCGATAGCTTAAAAGCTTTAATGAGTTGAGAGCATCAGTATGAAAATAGAGGGTTTATTGTACTGGTTATTGGTAGGCTTTACCTGATGGATGAATACCTATAAATACAAATGTTATTTTCTATATGCTATAGATAAGCACACCAAAACATATATGCCGAAAGCCAAATCACATGAGTAAGCACCATAGATAGAATTCTGGAATGGGCCAGATATAAAAGTTTAGAACAGTGTTACTCACAGATACACAAGTATCAAATTACAACTCTGAAAGCACTGTTCCAAGCAGATTTTGAAAAGCAGAGATTATTCTCTCCCAGTTTGAATGTATCCTCTCTTACCTTAAATTTGTTAAAGTAGGGGTGCCTGGGTGGCTCAGTCGGTATCGGCTCAGGTCATGATCCCATGGCTGGTGAGTTCGAGCCCGCGTCAGGCTCTGTGCTGACAGCTCAGAGCCTGGAGCCTGCTTTGGATTCTGTGTCTCCCTCTCTCTCTCTGCCCCTCCCCCACTTACACTCTGTCTCTCTCTCCCTAAAGAATAAATAAACATTTTTTAAAAATTTAAATTTGTTAAAGTAAATCATGCTTCAGACCAGCAACTCTAACAACACTGATTACATATTTGGTATTTATGGCATCACTGCAAGTATCAGATAATTGATGTCCAACTCCTGTTTTCTTAAAATAAAGTCGGTGCAATGTGGGATTTGACCTGGACTTCCTGTGTTCAAATCCTCCCTCTTAGTCAGAGGTCATGCGACCTTGGGCATGTTACTTAACCCCTGTGAGTCTCAGGTTTCCTGCCTGTTAGGATTGTTGTAAAGAGTGAGTGAATTAGTACATGGCATGCACTTTGCACTGTGCCCAGTACCTAGTTTTTATCCAAGAAATGTCAGTACTTCAGATTATGTAGCAGTGCTTCATGTAGGAACATCGTGCTAGGAAAATAAGCAAGGCTTTCAGGGCTTTATATGTGAGTTCACATGCTCAGAAAACACAGCTTGATTTAGTTTAGTAAACGGAGAAAGTACTGCTGGGTGGGAAACTCATTTATGCTAGTAGCTGCAAGGCTTTGAGTGTCTTTAATGTAACACCTCACAAGACCAAAAGATGATGTTTCCCACAATTCTGCCTCATTTATCTCATTCTTTATGTTACACTTTCATTTCCTGCCTGTTTTCTTCTTTTTCTTGTTGTATTCGTTAACTACATATAAATCAAATGTTTAAAATGTTACCTAAAATTTTGTATTTCCTCTTAATTACAATGTAGGCATTAAATGAAGCAGAGTGTGGTGAATTGATGTGGAACCCTCTTCTAGATGTTACCATGACTGAAAGAACCAGCTAGCATAACAATATGTGTAATCTCATTTATGAGAGAGAAAAGGAGGGAGAAGGGGGGGGGGGAGAAAGCAAGGCAAGACAAGGAATCAATTAATGCCTAAACACACATAAAAGGGTAGAAGTTTCTAGAAGGATCGCTCTGACACCATTATGAGGAAGAATGAGAATGAGCTTGGGGGCAAGGAGGGTAAAAACTAATGTAAAGAGTCGACTAACTAAGGGGCACTTTTCATTTTTACCTTGTGTTTGAATTTTCTAATAACAGGAAATATGCATTTAGCACTTGTATAATTTTAGAACCGTAGTGGGGGGAATGAAAGAAATATTTTCTGTCCCAGTTGAATTGGATTTTTCCTTTTTTCCATTATTCCATTTCCAAAAAATTTATTTTTTTTCTTTTAGTTCGGCCGCCCAAGAAAGTATGTTTCTCCCCCTAGTTCTAGGTTTTCTTTCTCTTGTTTCAACAAAAACACCTAGAGATTAAGCTTGGTGTCACGGCTGCCTTCTTTTTGCGCCGGGCGCGGCTTCTGTCTGGTTCATGACGTCCCGTGGATGTCCCTCCAGGCGTCTTTGAAAGCCTCCATCCTCGCCCGCGACTGCGCCACGGCTGCTGCCATTGTGTTCTTAAGCGACCGGTTCCTGTACGGGCTCGACGTGTCGGGCAAGCTCCTGCAGGTCGCCAAAAGGCTCCACAAGTTGCAGCCGGGAACGCCAATTGCCCCGCAGGTGGTCATTCGCCAAGCCCGACTCTCGGTCAACGCAGGTAGGCCTCCTCCCGCCGGCCCGGGGCGTCCAGCCGCGGGCTCGCCTTCCCTCCGGGGCTACTTGACTTCCGCGGGGGAGTGCGGCGGGCACCCGGGCCCGCGGGCCATCTTTTCAAGCTGCGGGCTCTCCCCGCCCCCGGCCCGCGATGCCCTTCCACCCGCCTCTTGCCAGCACAAAGGCCCTGGCATAAAGGGTTTCAGAGCCAAAAGCGGTAGAGAAAATTGTGAAAGGGTGTGGAAAATACTAATTGGAGCTTTTGTCTTCTAACAAATCTGTCCTGCTGCTTTCAAACAGGGGTATCTGAATTGCTATACTTCTGACCAAGAGCCTTTAAAAAGCAGATTAAAATTCTACTATTTTCTCTTAGTTCTCCTGTCTCCTTTCTGCAGGGCCACTTGACTATGCTAACAATAGAGCTGACAAACCCACTGAAGTAATTTGAGGGTTTTTTCCATCCCTGGGAACACCGGTACAGTACCTGATTAGGCCTTAAAGTATCTTTTTTTTTTTCCTTCTGTCACTTTGAATGAAATGAAAAATGAGGCTGACATTCTAACTTAGGATGTAATGTAGAGGGGGGTTGGAGGGGAAAGAGACCTGCTATGCATTACAGTGAAGTTTACTTCTATAGCATTTTTGAATTATTTAAGTTACTGATAACCATGAGGGTTAGAAATGTGTAGCCTGCTATTCTCACTTCTAAGAGTGAAAGAATAAAGGACAGAAGTAGAAAGCAAGTTGCCCTTCCCAGACTGGCTCAGTTTTTTAAATTGATTTTAGCTATTGTTGTTGTTTTTAATAAGCCTGGCCTGCAAGGAGTTAAAAAATCTTTACTTCACTCCCTTTTAAAACTGATTTTAGCTATTGTTGCTGTTTTTAATAAGCCTGGCCTGCAAGGAGTTAAAATATCTTTACTTCACTTCCTTTGAAAAGGAACTGTACTGACTATACTAAATGGGACAATTGTTGGATGCAGAGAGGCACAGAGATAAAAGGACATGAGAGAAATGGGCTTGTGGAGGTTAACTTTTCAAAAGCCCAAGTTCATTCACTTTCAAGTTCTTGCAGCTGTGCGTAAATTGTGTCCATGTTGGTTACTCTTCTAGAGTAACTGCAGGGACGGAGTGGAACTTAGGAAAACTTCCTTCCTTCCAAAATCCCTGATCTTGGACATTTTACAGTGTTTTGAGTTTATAATGTTTGGGGGATGAGGAAAACCTAGCAACTAATGTTCCTTCTGATGGCATCAGATGGCGATGATGTGTGTGTGTAGCACTCTGTGGGGAGGACAGAATGATGAAGGCTGGGCGTGCACAGGCAGACTTCCATATTGGTTCTTCTCAGTTGGAACTTGGAAGAGTTAATGTGACCTCGTTTCTGGTATACGGAATTGCTATGGTGGGACATAGAAATTGAGGTCAAGTGGTAAGCAGGCCTGTTGATAGCTTTGCTTTACACAGCCAAACCGAACTTTCGCTGGTTCATTTTGTTGTTTCTCTCAGGCTTCCAACTATGATAACAACTAAGCCTAGATATCGTCATGAGCAGTATGCTCCTCTGTTCACATATCGTACACCTTAGATAAAATCCTAGATCTTACTCCCCAACAGTTGGGTTGTCTTTTCCTCAAAGAAACTACCAAAAGAGCCACAAGAACACAAACACAGCCTTGGTTAAGTGAAGACAGTAAAACCTTGGTTTGCGAACATAATTTGTTCTGGAAATATGCTTGTAATCCAAAGCACTTGTATATCCAAGCGAATTTCCCCATAAGAAATAATGGAAACTCAGATGATTCGTTCCCTAACCCAAACATATTCATATAAAAATGATTACAGTACTGGAATAGAATACAAAATAATAAAGAAAATACAAAATATAAAGAAAAACAAATTAACCTGTACTTACTTTGAAAACCTTCATGGCTGGTGTGAGGGAGACTAGAGGAGGGTTACTGTGTAGGATGACTTTCACTATCAGTAACAGAATCACTGCTATCTAGTGGCTCCATGGAATCTTTTTCTTTTCATGCAACTTTAATAAGGAACCTATCCAAGGACACTTGCTTTTGCCTCCTTTTGAGGATTTCGCTGAAATGTGACATCCCATTGTTGTTAAACAGATTCATCGTTCACACAGCTACAGCCTTATTTGGGTGGTGCTTTTCTGTAAAATTTTGCACTGCTTCCCATATTTTACACATCTCCCTAATCTCATTTGAGGTGAGGGATTCCTCTGCCTTTTTTTCCTCCTCCTCTGCAGACGAGACAAGACACAGACTTCTTATAAAATCTTGAAGTTTTGGCCACTCGCATACCTCATTTGACCTTCTCCACGATTTCCTTCTCAACTTCCACCATAATCATCTCCTTCTTCTTACCACCTTTCTTTTCAAACTTTTTCTGCATGGGAGCCATTGTATATGCTCGCATGGATGTTAACTACAGTACAGCATTAATAAACTCTTGTCATATACCATATTTAATGTAACTGGCAATAAGGCAGCAGAGGAAAGAGTCTATATCTGCAGGCAGCCTGACCTAGAATGAAGCAAAGCATTCCTAAGCTTACTCTTGTATGGAAAAGCAAAGGACTATCCATAGGTGCTTTGAAGTGACAAATAATACACTATCGCCAGGTGTGGGCACCTTCCAACGTTCTAAAAAATCACTGACTTCTGCCAAACACTATGGTCTGAGACCTAGCTTCCGACCATGGGAGAAGATCACCCACAGTCCCGCAGACAGAGAGAAGAACCATTGGCTCAGTTGTGATAATGTGACATTCTACTTGTATTGCAAGACATTGCTCATTTATCAAGTTAAATTTTATTAGAAATGTTTGTCTTGGGGAACACTCACAGAGCAAATTATTTGCAATCCAAGGTTTTACTGTATTTGTGAATTTCTGCCCTCAAACAACTCTTGAGCCTCCCCCTACACCAGATGTCTCAAAGAGAGAGAGAGACTTAGAGCAGGGGTGGTGTCCTGGTAAAGAAGGTGCCATGGAAAGGGGTCTCCATCCTCAGCACCTGGGACTCTTGGGTCAGAAGAGTGAGATGCCTATATGATATTATAAGGAGTAAGGAAGAGGAATAAAGGTAATATGAGGGGACAGCACGGCCCTACTGTTACCCTTCCTGATATCCACCCAAAACACATTCCAAGGGTGGGGGCATTTCAACATGTGGGGTTTCACAGGCAATGGAGGGCATTGTGAGCCTGCTCAGCTCACTCTTGCCTAAAATTAGGAGGCCAAACCTTTTAAGCCATAAATAGAGATAAAGGTTAAAATTTCCAGTTCCATCAACATGGAGCAGTAAGCACGCATAGAATCTTCTCCCATTACATAAATATTGTGAATAATTTTTTTTTTTAAGCGCTGGAAATACAGAAAGTGTTCAAAGTTATAACAGTGGACTACTGCTCATGACACTATAGCCAGAGGGGTTTACACTTGGATGTGGTCCTAGGGGAAGGGACTGTCATTTTAATCCTCATGCAAGGACAAGAGACAGCACCTTGGGCCTATGTGAGGAGTGAAATATTTACATAAAGCTGGAATTCTTAAAGGTGTGCACAGCTATGTGTGGGGACTAAACAGTTCCACCAGCTCTCCCACGGAAGTGGCAAGGAAGCTTGCTCTCTGCCCAAGCTCTGGGTGGAGGCCAAAAAAAAAATCTCCCCAAACAAATGAAAACCCCAAGACGTGAGTGTGCCAAACGTGACTAGGGAGTCTCAATTTACCCTACCCGTAAGAGAGGGAATCCCCCCAAGTAATTAACAGAAAAAAACAGTTTAGTACTTACATTTTGGGGGCCCAGCAGAATATCAAGTACAAAACTATGCTCTAGAGAAACATCCACAGTCCAGGAGCGTAGGAATTCCACAGGAGAATATTACCTGCTGAAGATGCCCTCGGATTAAACTGTATAAGCAACGAAGGAAATGAAACATGGGAGAGAAGAACATTGTGTACCATACACAGGAAACGTGGCACTCCAAGACAAAATATAAAAGTAGAACAACTTAAAAGACTCATATGGCTTTTTTTTTAATGTTTATTTATTTATTTATTTATTTATTTATTTATTTATTTATTTATTTTGGAGAGAGAGCACAAGCAGAGGAGGGGCAGAGAGAGAGGG